TGCTTCTATAATTTAAATCAGTTTCATCAATTGTACATTTAGACTTATCTCTATCATTTATTTCCTAACATGGACTCTTAGACCTTAAATCCACCAATTCTGCTTTTGAGAAAAATGCCCATGCATTGCTCCTTATCCCTATCTTTTTGCTTCCTTTTTTCTTTCTACCTTGAATTATTTTTTCTTGTATTTGGTGTAGACTAGCAAAGAGGTGTGGTCAGGATTGGAAGATAGGGAGTAGGGATGACAGCTGAAAAGGAGCAGACATTCCAGTTCTTTTCATTCCACCTCAATCCCTGTGGGATGAATACATCATAAAACTGAAGGAAAGCTATTAAAGCTACAAAGATTATAGAAACATCTCTGAACTTGGTATGAGGTATAAATGAAGCCTGAGAGTCCAGCAATATAAGCAAGGCTAACTGAATTAACAGCATGGGAAGTCATTAATTAGGTTGTTCAGCTGACCAAATCCACTTGGTGAATTGCTGTTATAAAGGCAGTGTAATTATGAGCATCCAAGTCTATGAGTAGAGACTGCTTTCCAGCTTGTTATTGAGAAGAAGCTATTTGCCATACCACATAATCTCTTGCTTGTGTCTTTTGAGAACACAGGCTCCCTTTCAGAAATGTCTTTCAAAGCTACAACAAGAAATTGTTTCTTCAAAGAAATTGTTGGTGAAAATAGATATGTCCTATTGTTAAAAATTAATAATCTATAGAGTAAGCCTAAATTTTTCCATTATTCATTGAATAATTATTTGTAATGAAAAACAATTCTTAGACATAAAAATAATTTGGTCACATATGTTTTTAAATACTGTCTTATATTGAAGGAGGAGAGGTATTTTCAGGTAACTGGAGGGGAAAATGGTAAGTATCACAGGTTGAAGCAGTCTTGAGGATAATACAAAATAAAAGCAGCACTTCAATTTAGTAGTAATATCAAGTCCCAATTTATTCCTACATTACCCAGAGAGGCATAGAAAAGGCCTACTGTGGATCTCCATGGAAGAAAAGCACTAGTATGTGATTCTCTGGAAAGGTGCTAAGTAAAAAAATAAAATACCTCCAACAATGAACAACCTGCATGGATAGTACCAAAATGGTAATGGCAAGAAACTGTAATCAAACAAGTTGAATAATCAAATTGTATGTAGAGGTGATTATGGCATTGAGTGTGAATTTGGCCACAAATTACATATTTTATTGGACATAGAGATAAATATAACAGAGCTTAGTTTTCACATAGTGTAAGATCACAAAATGATTGCTTAATCATTATAAAGTAATCTTAATAATCATTGGGGGAGATTGTTTTTGTTTAATCATCATTAAAAATTTTTGTCAAAATGTTAAATATTTATTACCATGGTTTATAAATACATAAGGAACTGAAAATATTTATTTAGAGTGCCATCATTTTAAACATTGCACACACTGAGAATTAGTGTTTTATTTCTTTGCAAAAATCCTGTCAAGAATAGTGTGAATAGTGCTTGCTTTCTGGTCATATAACTTAGTATTTAGAGAAAGCATCTTTTGTAAACCTTGGCAAATTCTCACATCTTTTTCTCAGTTTGTATTGGTTTCCAGTGCTTCATTCTTTGCCCTTCCAATGTCATAAATTATCCCTGAGAGTTACTTTAGTGTGAAGTTTTATAACAGTGTTACTTCCTCTGGGACATCATCATCCTTTTTTGTCATTACCACTTTGTTCATTTATGTTGATATATCTTTCTCATCAATGCAATCTACTGAAATGGGTGGCCCAGTTTCCTTCATTAATGAGCCAGACATTTCTGTGTGGACAATTTACTTCAACATTTGATTCTACCGACATCCGTTTTGTTTACCTTGGCAAGATTTATAGTGAAACTTTCACCGATACTCACAAAGCAGTCACACTTTCCCTGTGGCAATTTGCAGCCAAATGCTACCTATGAGTTTTGTGGCATAACCCAAGTTAAAGTTCCTCCCTCTCGGTTGGGAGATCATCCCTCACCTCAGGTTAAGTCCTGATGAACAACCTGAAGAGCAACATGTCAAAACCTATCACTTGCCTGCTCCTATGGGTGACTGAGTCATGGCCTCACCGTAAAGGCCTCCTTTACCAAGTCTAGATCTTCCTTAGTGCTCTGGCTCCATGAACCAGCAGGTAACAGAAAGAATAATATACAATCATACAACTCTGATCATCTTTGAACTTCCTTCAAAAGAGTCTGCTTTTACATGGTCATTTGGGGATGCTATGTCAAATATCCAAGGTACACCAAACATTAAATCTGAAAGGGACCACTGATAAAGTAGTACCCCTTATTTGTAGGAAATATGTTCCAAGACCACCCATCTCCATCCCTGTGGATGCCTGAAACTGCAGATAATACAGAACACTATACAGAATGTTTTTTCCTATTCATACCTACCTGTGATAGTTTAATAAATCAGTTAGGCACAGTAAAACACTGATAAAAATAATTAATAAGAAAATAGAGCTAGGCACCAGTGGCTCATGCCTATAATCTTACCTACTTGGGAGGCTGAAAACAGGAAGATCAAGGTTCTAGGCCAGTTTAGGCAAAAAAAGTTGGTGAGACCCCAATCTCAACAGAAAAAGCGGGGCATGGTGATGTGTGCCTAACATCCCAGTGAGGGTGAGAAGTGTAAAACAGGAGGATCACCATATAAGCCAAACTAGGCAAAAGTGAGATCCTACCTCCAGAATAACCAGAGCAAAACTGCCTGGAGGTGTGGCTCAGTCATTGAGCACCTGCCTCACAAGTGTGAAGCCCCGAGTTCACACTCCAGCACCACCAAGATGAAAGAGAGAGAGAGAAGAATTTTAACACTTTACTATACTAATAACTATGCAAATGTGACTCAACTCTCTTAAAATACCTTATTGTACTGTACGCACACTTCTGTGATTAAATGAGAGCACACAGACACAAGGATATTTTCCTGGTTGACCTTGCCAGGAAGCAGAACCTTGGTAAGGAGAGAACACTGTAGTTTCTGTCATGTAACCAAAACACTGATGGCCAGAGAAGTTGCAAGACTATTGGGCAATGGTTCTATGTATGAAACAACCTCTCAGTGTTCCAGGCCAATGCTCTTTCCTGTTCATCTTACATCTTTGCTTCTCCTTGTCATTTTCTTATTTCATGATATACCTAGTTACACAGAGCTACAATTTGATTTAATAGAGATCACCAAGTTGAGTGGCATGTAACCTGAAGTACATATCTATATGAGCTACTAAGCATACATACTCGCCCCAAATAATCAGGGCTTTTGTTGTTGTTGTTGTTTTGTTTTGTTTTGTTTTATAGTAATGGGGATTGAACTCAGGGCCCAAATGCTCAATTTTAAAAATGTTTTTATGAGCAAAAAACTATTCTTTGTTTAAAATAAGAAGCATAGATGATCTGAAACCAACAAAATACCCTCTGAGAGAAGAGACTTAAAAAATGTGGAGGATTTCTGGGTAAGCTTGCCCCATAAGCACAGTCAAGGTAGCAAACTGTGAGCATCCCTAGTTTTCTTGCCCTGAGCTAGTTATCTCATGCTGTCATTGCCATTTTCCTGCATCATAAGTGCGTGGTGATTTTTGCAATAAACACATAGTAACTATAATGTTATAAGAAACAGAATGATGCTGCAAAAAACAACAAATCCAGGTTTAAAATGAAATGCATCTTTACTCATTGGAGTTGAACAATTCAAATAAATTAACTGATATCCAATTGGAGCAATTAAACATGAAAGATAAAGAAATGGGGACATTTTATGAGAATTTCAGCATGTATACACACACACACACACACACACACACACACACACACAGAGATATAGCACACATGTTCATGTGGAGAACCAACCCTGCTAGACTAGAATTTCCAACCATGCCAGGGACGCTAGGAATTAGAGTCTAGGAGGACAGTAGTGTATTCTTTGACAAGGCCCATTTGTGCCTTTGTTCTTATTCATCACTTTGTTCTGAGAACACATTGTTCCATATGTGTGTCCACAGGTTTTAATTGTTTACCACGAGGCTCAAATCCTCTATGTAGATGTAGTTTCTGTTACTTCCTGGAATTTTATACATATGAGGTCAGTACCCTGGGATACTTCCAATTGCCTGAGTTTTCCATTGTATTTGACACCATACTAGGACATATGTAAGCTTTCAGATGATCACCAGCTTGCAAGTGAAATTTAAAAATCGAATTTTAAAAACTGCATCATCAATCCTTTCAGTTTGTGATGACACATTTGTAACTAAGTTCTTGATGTGACCCTGTCTTTTTGGCCCAAACAATCAGTCTTCTACACAAAATATTTCCAAAATGAAAATGTCTCCACTTATTTGACTATACTCATACCTTCATTGATATCTGAGACTCCTAGGCTATTCTGGTAACCTAAGTATAGGTAAAAATCCTGCAAAGATATTGGAAGTAAGAACTGGTTTAGGGTTAGGCATCTAGAAACATATTTCTCTTGGGGCTCAGTTTTCTCATCTGTAGAGAGAAGTCAGAATTATATTGTTTTGCTGCAACACACTGGCTGTCTTACATCCTTCATTGGTCATAAAAATTTTTGCCTAGCTCCTCTTCTTTATTATCTTTAAAATATAAGAACATCAACTTCAATTAGCCATACAACTGTCCAGATCTGATACACAATTCAAGTTAGCAAACCTACCCTAGGATGCCTCTGGCTCCAAGAGTGAATGATCATAAAACCAAATATTAATAGTACAATTAGAAGACAGGATGAAAATGAAGGAAGGGAGGGTTGGAGGGAGAAGGGGAGGAAAGAAGGTAGAAAGGAGGATGATATAACTATGATGAAATTCTTCCTTCAGGGAAAGTGATGATTAATAACTTAATAATGCCCCCCACACACCAAATATAAAGTTTCTATTTCTTATGTCAAAGCATGTAAGGTTGAGCCATTCCTCCCCTTCATTTAGCAAAAGATATTTGGTTTCATACCTTCAAAGTCCACATCTCCAACTAATTTTGTCTTTCTTGTCACAGGATCTTGGATGTAGTTGATACCCACATCAATCACAGCAGCGCCTTCTTTAATCATATCAGTTGTAATCAACTTTGGAATACCTGAAAATGAAAGAGTTGTAAAACACTAAATAGTACTTAAACTTTGTCCTTGAGTATAACAAAGGTTTATACATCTAATGCTTTTGTCATTGATTTAAAAATACATAAAATACACATTTGTAAGGGAGAGACCAACTGCCCGGTTATCATTTCTCATCAAGCAGAAGAACAAGATGACTGTGGCAGCATATGGGGCCTTTGTGGATGAAATCCTGCATGGAGCTACCCTCCTCTTACCTTAGCAACAGCTCCCCTGACTTCTGCATTTGGATTCCTGCTTGGGCAGTGTCATTCTGTGTAGCATAGACAGTTATGGACATGAAAGTCTCCTGCTGATGTGAAGTGGAGTGCATTGAAAGCAATGTGGAAATTGGAGGCAGAGAGGAGAAAAGAATGGAGGGAGGATAGGAAAAATTAGGATAACAAAAATTTCTAGTCTCCAGGGTTGTGATAAACAGAAAACTACCATCTGCATAGTAGCATCTTATTGACTCCAAGCATGAAGTGTTAACTTTTGATTTTTCATGGTTTCTTTGATTTTTTATAACCATATATGACTCAGAAAATGTAAAGTATAGTAAATTCTCCTCACTATTGGTTCATTCTGGTAGAAAAAGTAGATCTACAGGGATATAGTTACCTATAACTATTTTCAAATTTTTTTTCAAGTGCAACAGTACTGGCTAACTCATTTGTAAAGGAGAATTTATTAAACCATCTCCAAATTTAGTAGATTAAAAACCATTTATTACTAAGTCTTATGGTTCTATGGGTTGACTGAGATCAGCAGGATGGATCTGGCTTGGGATCTTTCATGTAAATAGAGTCAGACAGTGTCTGAGGCTAAAGTCATCTAAAGATGTGATTAGTTTGGGTCCAAAATGGCTCATTTACATGACTTCAACTGATGCTTATGGTTGGCTGGACTTTCCAGGACTTTCAACTGGAGCACATGTGTGTGAATTCTCCCTGTGGCATGGGATTCTTATGGTCTAGCTGCTAACATCCCAGAGACAACAATTAGAAGTTGCCAAACTCTTAAGACTAGTATGTCACTTTTGTCATTTTTTATTGGTCAAGCAATGATATCAGATTAAAGAGGATGAACTTGGTCTACTTCTTGGAGGGAAGTAAATCAAATAATTTGCAGCAATCTTTACTCTAGCCAATAACTCTGGAGGACATTGTCTTTGGTAGGAGATTTGCACAAATTCATATTCTACTTCCCTTGCAGGAAGCCCGTCTGTTGTGTTATCAAAGGTTTCTTTCTAGCATCCCAACTAGATTTAAGCATTTGAGATGGCTTAAATGTCACCTTGTGATACATGAGTTTTAGTGCTAGTGAGAGTTTAAATTCTATAAGCCAATGGTCACTGCTAACATAGATGTACCTATCTGATAGGTTTTTTTCACTGCATAATAATATAACCAAAGAGGCATCAACATTTGAGATGCATTTCTCCCTTGCTTTCCAATCCTATGATATAGAACTTCATCCTTTTTAATCAACTCTAGGGAAGATAATGAGTATTGTTCTAAAGATAGCATGAAATCCTGATTCTTCTTGGTATCCAACAGAAAAAGAAAGTTGGGGGTGTGGCTCAGTGGTAGAATGTCTAGCATGTATGAGGCCCTTAGTTTGATTCCAGTACTGCCAAAAAAATAAAGAAAAAAGAAAAAGGAAATATATATATATAGTTTTTTAAGATAACAGTCTAGGTATGTAAACTAGGCTGGTCTTGAACTCATGCTACTCTTGCCTCAGGGTCCTTTGTGCTGGCATTACAGGTGTGAGACACCACACCTAGCTTCAGAAAAGTTTTAAAAGATGAAAATATTTTTGAAATAGCTATTAAAATCTATCTATTATGCTAATGGCCAAGATTCAAGTCTTCCTGTGATTACTATAATAGCTCAGAGAATTACTGGTGATGGTAAAATGCAACAACTTTTAAAATAGAAGGATATGTATGGTAATTCCCAGGAAAATTGTAAAATGGAGAAAAATGTAAATGCCATTTTTTCTGATAATGCTATTATGTATGTGCACTGTAGAAATTTTGGATAATATCTACAAGTTTAAGATAAAAACAAAACTCACTATTTTCCTGCCATACAAAGATAACAAATGTTAGTATTTTTTGCTGTTTCTCTATAGGATTCAATAATATTATGATATATTAGATATTAAATGTGATGCCTGGATGAGCATGGTGGGTCAGATCTATAATACTTGCTTGGGAGGCAGAGATTGGGAGGATCATGGCTCGATACCAGCCTGGGAAAAAATTTGTGAGACCCTATCTAAGCCAATAAAAAACAGGGTGTGTTGGTGCTGCACCTGTTTAAATAAGAGGATGTGGACCAGACCTGCCAGAGCAAGATGTTATTCAAAAAAATAACTAAAGCAAAAATGACTGAGGGCACGGCTCAATTAAAGGAGTTTCTGCCTATTGAGCACAATGGCCTACCACATACACACACAGACACACACACACACACACACACACACACACACACATACACACACGATCCCTAAATTTCACTCATATTGTGTTTCACTAATATGTATTACCATCTCATCAGAATTAAATCATGATACTTTTCCCATTTTAACAATTATATGAAATTCAAAAATTAGATAAAATAATTATCATACGGGTTACCATAAATTATTCCTTCTTTCATTGTTTCTAATATTTTGTTATTAATAAAACAGGACTGATCACTTACTTTAGAAAACTATAGATAATTACTTAATTTCAGCATCCAAATTTGATAAAAAATTATCTCCAGTGAGCCATTTTTAACCTCATGAAGAAATGTGGGTTGGATGAAAGTACCTATTGGTCATAGTTGGTTAAATGACATAGTCCAAAAGTGTTAGTTAGTCAATGCATCTGTAACAAGATGTATTGAGATCTATTGAGGTCTTTTGTGAAAAATATTTATCAGGACCATTTTCAAAATTTTTATAAAGAGTTTGGAATCATACGTTAGCATTGTGGTGGTGACTTTATTTTTGTCCTCCTCCAGACTTATTTTCCATCTTATTCTGTTCTATCCCATGCCAGGGGTGGGGCTGATGCTTATACAGATCTTGCGTGCTTCCTATCTCTCTTGGAACCCTGTCACGGCCATGAGAACAAGCTCACGCTAGCCTACTGGAGCATACACGTTTTGTGGAGCAGAGATGAGTCATTTCAGCTGAGCCCATCCTAAACTGATCAGCTTCCAACCAACCACCAGCTGATGGCAGATGTTTGAGCAACCCCAAAAAGAGCAGATGAAATGAGTCAAGGCTACCATAACTGAGAGTTGAACCACAGAATAATGAAAAATTATTTTAAAAAGTGATTAAGTGACTGAGTTTTGGTTTCTTCTTGAAATAATATTATCAACTAAATAGCCCATATTTGCAAATGACACAAAAGTGGATAGAATAACTAGATGTTTGTCACTTTGGAATGATGGATCATAAGAAGCAAGGAGAATTTGAAATGAGACAAATGTATAATTCTCACCAGGTGCTACACTTGGTTAAAAGTTCATTAAAAACAAAGACAGTGTCCAGATATAAGGTAGTAATATTTCCACTACATTTTTAGCAGACACTCCCTGGAAAAGTTGGTTTTATTCCAGAGGGCTTTTTAGAAAGGAATCTTTCTAAAAAGAAAGAACAGGTCTAGAAATCATATCAACAGTTTCATTGTTTGGCTGAATTCCTTATTATCATTCAGTGAGAGGATAAAAATCTTGCACCACATTTGAAAGCAACTATATCCCTAAACACACTGTTTAATACAGCTAGCTCCTCTTTTTTTTATAGTAAGACTTTTTCAATAAAGGAAGTAGCATGCAGATTTATATTCTTCCTGTTCATAAGCTCCTTATCATCTTGTGGACTTTTAACATATAGTTCACAGGGGGTAAGAAACAGTCACAGACTAGCAACAGTGCACTGACTGCAGACTGAATACTTCTGAAATAGGAGAGTGACTAAATGACCTCAGCCTGCTTACCTGGAGGAAAAAAAAAAAAAAAACCTAAGGACAAAACAAACCAAAACCCAATAGTTGTCATAGTACATTCAATATATTACACTGAATAGGGGTAGATTTACTTTCTATGGTTTTAGAGAGAAGAAGGAAGGAAGAAGAACAAGAGTAGACTTTCACTTGATATAAAAATTTTGAGGATAATAATATATGCCATAAAGTGAAACTTCAATTTTATTCCTCAGTAGAAATACTCAGAATAGAGATTGAACTGGGAAGGTCAGGGAAGGTTATCTGTAGAAGCATAGGTCCCCACATGGCCTTAGTTAATCTAGCTTTGGCCTTCCTACTGTAGTCCTCACAATGCAGCAAAACTTGGATATCCTGAGAAAAGGAGGAAATGTCCAGAATAACCCAGGCTATATCTTTGTTTTTCTTTGAACAGGATGCTCTGCAGTGATGAGTTCAACAATCCAAGTGACACCAAGGGTATATAAACTCAGGTTGGCATGCTTTTGGGGTCCCTCAGCTGTGTGCAACATGAAGCATGCATAAAAGAGACTTTATCTTTACTTAGCAGCTTTCCTGAGCCTTGGTGGACTGGCTAGCCATGGATCTTAGGCTGTTGTTTATTCTTGTTGCCCTTCTGGGAGTGACAGATTTGCTTGGCTCAATTTGTCGTGAGTGCTCTGTGTCACCAGACTCATACAAGTGGTGAAAGTACTGGGACGCCATTTATTGCTCATAGCTATCCTTATGGTGTTGGGACTGCTGCAGCAGTTGGCTGACTCAAGGCTTCTGCCACATTTATGAATCTGTGCGTTAGTTACGTCTTCCAATTCTAGGATTTAAGCATTCTCCTTTGTCTTTTCAACTTTTCAAAACAACTTTTTTCTTTTCCAACTAAGTCATTTCTGACTCTAGCATTCTACCAAAGAGAGAAAAAAACATAAATATTATCAGTGCTATAACTTGGATTTTAAATGTCCCCCAAAGGCCCAT